GCTTTCACATTGAGCAGCATTAACTACACAGATCCGTTGTTCACTGACGAGCTGCGCAAAACCACGTTCATATTCGCGCGATTTTTTGCAAAGCTCGTCAGAGAACAACGGCTCTGTGTAGTTAATGCTGCTCAATGTGAAAGCCCGCAGGTGATGGAGATTTACCGCTGATTACAGAACCGGCTTTCTGACAAGATGCGCGTTAAATATCGCATGCGATTTATCGTGCAGCCCTAATAAAAACTGATCCAAAATATGAATAAAAACTAAAATAACACTGGTGTTACGGAATGTGCTCTTGAATGTACAAGCTTTATAAATTAAGGAAGGCCTTTGTATATGATATCAAAAAGATATAATATACAATCTAACACAGAACTCCATTGCATCCATAAAATGTAATCAAACTACAACAGCTAACTTGTTAAAAGTAACATGTGCTAATATTTCTCCAGATGACAGAAGTGTCATCATTGCACAAAAGACAAACATGTGATGTCACTCAAACATGACTTCAGACAAGCTGTCTCTCTTTAAGACTGGCCTGTCGTCATAGCAAACATTCGGCTGCCTAGCAACCGTAAACCAGCGAGCAAAGACTGTCTGAACCGAGTCCAGCACACACAGGAACGCTGAGACACATGACACACAAGTCAGAGGAAATGAAAGAAGAGACACCAACAACTTAAGGTTCAAAGGTCTTCAAGGGGATTTGGCTTTATACAACAGTTACAGTTGAAGTGAGGAAAGCTGGTAAATGAATAACCATTCAGAAAAATTTATAATACATCACAGCAAAAAAAAAAAAAAAATCATTGCTTATTGCTCTCACAATTGATTCCTGAGGTGTTAAAGATGTTTTAGGCGGGACTATCTGTTTGGCAGATAGTCTTCATTCATTATGTTTGCTAATTGTTTGATGGTGCAAAAATTACACTTTAACTATAAAGTTGCCAGGTTAAAGTTAGTGTGTACTCAAGATCACGCTTATTCAGGATGGTGATGAACAGGTTCTAGAAAAAGCAAAACAAGTTACTTCTACGATAAATGTTTAGCACACCCTCCCAGAACATGTTTTTGTTTGAAAACTTGGTGAGTCAACCGTTTACGATTCTCACTTGCCATCTGGAATCCGCCCTAAACCTCCGAAAGACGAGACAAATGGGAAAGAGACTGTAGAACAAATAAAACGGCAAACAGTCCGTCTCAGGTGTTGATAAGTGCATTTATCTTGCGATCGATTCTTTAGTCAACAGACACAGGAGTATCCTTTCAGTAAATGACTTCTCATTCATTTCAAATTATTTCCTGATAATTCAAGTCACTGCTCTTTTTTTAAATTAAAAAATATATATATTAATAAACATTAATAAACAATTAGCAAACATAATCAAACCCACATCTCATCTACCAGGAACAAAAAGGCATTTCATTTAATCTGGTCAAAGTATAATTTTATATTAACCCACATAAGATTTTCGAAAAATGGTTATTATTTTGAAGCATTATTTCTGCACTTTGCACAGCCATTCATTTCACTCTCCATGTATCGGTCTAAATCATCTGCACGCTGGATGTTTTAAACTGTCTCACCCTATTTCTGTGCGAGTTCATTCCACATTGAGTTATATAGATTTTATTTAACACATATTTCAAATAATTACTCCGTTAGGTTCTTTCCCATTAAATGTCCTATGGTATATCAATTTTGACTGCAAAAGTGCGAATTTTTTTTACATGACCACTTAGACTCATCAAATGAAGTCCAGTTTTGTTTTGTTTTTTTCAGACTGCAAATCTAAAAAAACACTTTGGTTAAAGAAACCAATTTAAAAGAAGAAGAAGAAGGCGGGCGGGCGGCAATCAGTCAAAAATGGTCAAAAAGCTTATAAGAGTGAAGACTGACCTTGTAGGAGTAGGTGTACATCATCAATGTCCAGTGGGACGCCCCCCTCGTCCTCCGCAGGAGCACAGGTTTCTCCCCCTGACGCCATTACTGCTGCTTCGACACTCTCACACACTCATTCCCACTAAAATGATGGGGAGAAAAAAATACAATAACTGTAGTAGTGCTATTGTTATAATAAACACAGCACACGTGTAAACATTTCATTAGATCTGATTCTTTCTAAATCAGTAAGCACAACATTTTACATTTTCACCTCCTGTGCTCTTGGAGACACTGATAAAGAAAAAAAAAAAAAAAAAAAAAGTGACCTTGCATTGTTGCCTGTTTTGATATTGATCAGGAGACTGTGCAATGAAAACAACTTCACATGACTGATTCAGCAAGCATCAGTTAGCAAATATGAGAACATGACAAAGACAAAAATACAGTTTCATATGGCACAGAGGTTGACCCTTTCTGTAATCGTACAGATTACATTCCAAAACCAAACATCTGAGGCGAGGTCTCAAATACTACATTGCTGTGATACAACATAAAGAGCTCTGTCGACTCTTAATTACACAAATAATTCTGATGGTACTGTGAATTAGGTTGGGAGAGAAAGGGCTCGTGAACAGATAAACAACATCAGCATAAAGTAACAAATGTGAAGAAGGAAAGCAAAGAAGGAAGTGTCCTCGGGAGATTAAGCTAATCATATTCCAGACCCACACACAATGCCAATAAAGTCTAATAAATGAATACAGAACAGTAAGTTACTAAGTGAATCAAGACGGAAGTACGATTCAAGGGAAGTAGATAATAAATGCACATATGAACAGACACACAGGCAGCCTGAGGGCTTATGACTTGATCTAATCATTATCATTGCTGAAATGCTACACTGACTAATGTATATTCAGGAGGGGTTATAAGCTTAATACACTCTGCACAAATGGTATTTTACTTGTGATTAGATTTTAATTATTATTTTAATTATGACATTTACATACTGTTTTACTAATAATAATAATATAATAATTATTATTGTTGTTAATATTATATATAACATTTTATTTAGAATTTTTGTTGTTCACAATAATAATAATAATAATAATAATAGTAAAAGTAAATATAATAATTAATAACATTATTGCTGTTGTTATTGACAATAATTATTATTATATACTTATGAACATGACATTAAATGTATTATATATTACATTTATATTTACAATTTATTGTTGTTCACAACAATAAAATGAAAAAGTAAATATAATAATAACTTATTATACAATTAAAATAATTAACTTATTATTATTATTATTATTATTATTCACCATAATAAAAATGATCATAGACTTATATACATATATATTACAGTTATATTTATCATCTATTATTATGTTGTTGTTCTCAAAAACAACAACAATAAAATGTAAAAAAATGTTATGTCAGGTATTTCTAACACATTTTAAGTAAAAAAAAAAAAAAAAAAGGATGCAAACACCATGTTAAAAAAATTAAGCTGCCTTACCTGTATTTTTTCCTGTTAAACGTAGAGTAGCGCTATTTGTTGTTTTTAGAGAGACCCAACACTTTAAAAAAAATTACAGATTAAATAGAAAAGAGTGAAAATCTCTTTTTTTTTTAAAAAGGAAGAGAAATAACTTCTAAAAAAAAACTTAATAGGTCTAAAAAAAAGCTGTTCTTGCACATGCTGACATCAACACAAATGCAAGCTCATATGCACTTTAAATGGGTTACCTGAAAGCATAACAGGTAGAGGCACCATCAAGGACTCTCCTGAACACTCAGGACCTTGTTATTAAACGTGAAAATTACTAAATGGTCATTAGAGGGCACTGCTTGAATCACTCCTGATTCTTCCAGAATACAGTCACTCATTCAGCACATGTGCACACACACACACACACACACACACACACACACACCTGTTGTTTCTGGGTGAGATTCAGACTCACTATTTAAAACAGCCAAAAGAGATGTGGAAACAACAGTCTCACTTGCTCCTGCCAATACTGACATCAAAAGGGCAAATACAGCACTGGGAATATGCAGACATTATAACCGGCAATCCATGTACTTTTTTTCCACATGCATGAACAGATTGACTGGCAGAGGAGTAAGAGAAAGGGCAAGATAGATGGAGAGAACTGCGTGGAATCTGATGCTATTAATAGGATAGACTGATGACATGCAAAAAGCATTCTGTGTCAGCTAATACTTGAATCACCATTTACCTTAATTCCCAAAAACAACCGTTTGACACGAAGACTACACTTGTATTGTTTCTGTAATCCAAACCGCATACCTGGTAGCTGACACTAAGATTAAACCAAGCAGAAGTGAATCTGTGGTGCTGCATTTAAAGAAATTAAAGAGTTTACTTCATCCCCAAAATCTAAAGAAAGAATAAAGAAATGACACACACACACGTATGTATATATGTGTGTGTGTGTTTACATATATTAGTGTACTGTATTTATAAACATACAAAAACAAATGACATACATAAACCTACATATTATGTATTACATATTTAGATTTAGTATTTGCAGGATTGCCTTTAGTATGGTTTTAATATATTTTTTAATTTAAATTAAAATAAACAACAAAATAAAATAAAACAGCCTTCATTCTTCATGGAAAATATAATTTCTTGTTTTTGTTTGTTTGTTTTACTTCTGATTTTTGGGTGAAATATCACCTAGAAATGTTTTTGACAGGCTTTCACCAACTAAAAGTCCTACTAAAATAAACAAAGGGCATCTACAGTACATGGCATGCTATGATGTTAATTCAACAACTGACCTCTACATGAGTGACATTACAGCACAGCTGTATTGGGGTCTCATAAGTGCAACTCATAATGCGCAGTGTCACGAGGTGACATACACGTTCTCATTCTCACTGTTCCACTTCAAGTGAAACTGTATCAGATGACACTGCCTGTGGTGTTATTATTATTGCAAGGACACGGTTACCAATGTGACACTCATTCAAAGGTGGCTTCAGTTTCACACAACTAAACACACACATTTCTGGGTCATCATGTAAAAACAGAAATCCATATTTCAAGTCAAACTTAGTGTATCCTTTATTTCAGCCTGTCTTTTGCACCCTCCAAACACAGATCTATTACATAACAATGACAGCGCCCCAAAACATCTAACTAATTAGTGGAACAGCAAGACCAGACAAAGCCTCATACTGAAAAGACGCGGTGTGATACAGGCATGGGTGGGGATGCCATTGATAATCATTTAGAAAGAATCATATTACTTAAACACAAAGACAGTGCTGTTTAACCCATGCCCTAGCAAAAAAATAGTAAGACATAGGACATGAGGTGGGTGACCAAACCTGGTGTGTTTGGTACAATCTGTTCCTCTTTGATCTTTACACCGGAGCTGATCACTTGCACAGGAGAAATTAGGAAAACATTATGCGTTTATAATGTGTCACTTTTCTTGTATAAATTAACAAACATTCAAATACTGTAATGTCAGAACTAAAATGTATTACAAATTATTGCATAAATTCAGTGTGAAATAAATGAACAGGAGCACACAGGCACATAAAAGTTAAAAGCTGGAAAGCACCATTAGTCCAGTATGTGAAACTCATGACAACCTGTATGCTCTAAGGTTATACAGTTTAATTACATTCAATTAACCTCATATGGATTAATTACCTTTCAATGTCAGGCAAAATACAAGTCAGCTCCCATACTACACTTACATAGCCTATTATTTACATAGTCGAAACTAGTTTTCATACAATAAAATAATTATTCTTTAAAAGAACTACAAACTGTAAGATGTGAAAAGTTAATGGTCTGATGCTGTGGTTAATTTTAATGTCATGCGACGTGCTTGGCAGAAGGATGTTGTCTGGTACAATTCATGGCTTGCAGTTTCATTAAACACAGAAAGTTTTACAAACTTACAATGAATGAACGCGGTTTGCCGTCTCAGGTTGCTGACAATTCTTCTCAATTGTTTCCCAAACTGCACCTCTGGAAGCAATGGAAGTGAAAACGAGCACTGCACACTGCGTCGCGGCAATGATTTGTTTGAAGTGTTTTCTCCGCCTTCAATCCGCTTGAATTTGAAGTAGAACCAACACACCTTTCTGAGCTCCAGGGCGTTCGAATTGTTTCAAAGAATCGGTTCGCTCGAACGGTTCGTTTCAATGAACTGGTTCAAAAAGATGAATCATCACTAGAGTGTGTGTGACATTTTGTGTGTTCAATTGTGTTCTTTAAATGTTAGCTAAATGCTGCTGCTTAGTACTGCATTTTTGTTTGTGTGTTGTTGATGTTTGTTCATCATTTCATGTCACAATTTAAGTGCGAAATGGTTATAATGAATCATTTATAAGGAACCGGTTCAAGAGCGCCATTCATTCGCGACATTGAAGAATGTAATCTATTTTTTTTAAATATTCCCAAGAGAGTGTTTTTATTATTTGTGCATCTGAGAACTGACAAAGGCGGCATTCTTTATGAATCACTGATTAAATGCAGTACATATTGCGTGTTATTAAACCACTATGTGTGCCTCCGCTGTCGAACTCTTTATAGGTTTCAGAAAGCTGTTGACTGTTCAGTTAAATGCACAATTTATGAAGTTGGTATGCCCCATATGCCTTCCTAATCTCGCTACGCATGCATTACACGCGCGCGTGTGGAGGCACTGCCACCTGTTGCCCGTAGGGACACAAAACAGTCAGTCACCTGATGCATGCACTTATGACCAGCAGTGTTTTGACTCTGTTCAATTGACCCAGAAATGGTAGTCTTATGTCTTATAAAGTTTTATTTTGAAATGTAACATATAGATCACATTACGCGTTGAACAGGTAATACAAGATGTGATTTTAAAACATTTCCGTGTTACTGGACATATAAACTCTTTACACTTGACCAAATTTTTGCAAGCGGCACAGTTTCTACACGGGAAACTATAATATAATATTTAAATTGTCTTTGAAGGAACTGTTTAATTCTTTGCCATCCTTCTTTTTCTAGATGCGAGTGTCTCAGTACCAGGATATGGGTCCATCACTGTGGACATCAGTTATGGTGGAGCTCTTTATGCTTTTGTGAGTGCTGAGAAGTTTGGATTGGACGTCAACAAGTCCAAAACCAGAGATTTGGTGGATGCAGCCACTGCGGTGAGTGATGCTGTTAAATCCCAGGTAATTGTTGTTATTGTTAACTAAAACTAGCTGGGGAAAAGAAAAAAAAAATTGTTTAATTGAAATAATCTAAAATAAAATAAAATAGAGATGCTACTTAAAAGAAACTTAAACTGAAAAAAAAAAACGTAAGTAAAACTAGAAATGTTGCCTTAGCAATTAATTGCAGGTTTAAGTTGAAATACTAAAATGAGTAAAACTGAAAATAGAATAAAAATAAAGCGAATTAGAAAAAACAAATAAACATGTCAAATGCACATAACATAATGACTAAAACTAGCTAAAATTAAAATCAAAACTGAAAAAAAATAAAAAAATAAAGCTAATTCAAAATATAAAACACTATAGTAGTATATAAATAATTCTAAAATAATTTTATTTGACCCTTGTTTGATTCTCGAGATTTTATTGGCAGGCGAAAGAAACAAACCTACTTCATTCAACATTGTGTTTTCTTAGTCTGTAATTTGTATGATCATTTTGCATAATTTACCACACTCACTGGATGCAACAAATGCCTCGTTTATAATGGGTTTTAATGTTTTTGTCTTTTATGACCCCTTTAAGTTACAAGTTGAGTGTCAGTGTAGAGTCAAAGCAGTTCGCCGAATACAAAATTTCCATTTGATCACCGCTGTCAGTCATGATCTGGTGATAATATGATTCCGTTTTAGACAGAATTTATTAAAGCATTATTACTGAAATCACATCAAGCAGGTTGACAGTACAGTTTACCTGTTGAGATTCACTGTACATTACAATTAACATCATAAAATCCTATTAAGTAAATGTAACTCTTCAGTGTTTTTTACTGTCTTTGTAATCACCTCTAAGCAATTATTATTTAGGTAGGGTTAAGAAAAAACATTATTTATTATTTATTTAGACTTATGTATTTATTTATTTAGGTCAAAAATAATTCTAACCAGTCTAACAGTCATTAAAAAAAGACAGAAGTGAAAGTCTAAATGGGTTAACCACCCTAAACTCAACAGAAATATATAAATATGGAAGTATTTTGTCTTAACACATGACAGTTGTCATTAGCATAAATCTGCAATATGTTCAAAATCATTGCATGTTAAATCAAATTATCTTACAAAAGTGGATCAAAAACAATGTCTTTAACCCTGTTGTTCCCAACTTTTGTCTTATACTTACAGTAGTTTAGAGACTATTTCAAATATGATTTTCATTCAGTGTTTTTTTTTTTACCCTACAGAGTGATCTATGGAGTTCCCAAAGCTCCCCCTTCACTCCGGTTCTGTGTTATCAGTAGTGGACATGCACACTGGTGGAGAGCAGCTGCGCATTATCCTCAGTGGATATCCAGAGGTGAAGGGGGACACTATCCTTGCAAAACGACGCTATGTGAGAGAGCATCTCGATCATCTTCGCAAGGTCTTGATGTTCGAGCCCCGTGGTCACTATGATATGTACGGAGCCCTGCTGGTCAGAAGTGAGTTAGCAGAGGCTGATCTCGGCGTCTTGTTCATGCACAACGAAGGGTACAGCACCATGTGTGGCCACGCTGTCATTGCTCTCGGGCGCTTTGCGGTGGATTATGGTTTGATTAAAACGCCCACTTCACCAGAGACGCAGATAAACATACACTGCCCCTGCGGCTTAGTGAAGGCCTTTACACAGTATTCCAATGGGAAAACTGGAGCTGTCAGATTCCACAGTGTGCCAGCGTTTGCTTTCGCTACAGGTGAGCAATAAGGTGTGATCATGATAATATGATCATAAAACATTTTTAAGTTTGATTATGTTCAGGTGGTGTCACTTTGGAACATATATTATATTTTTAAACTGTTTTTAATGAATCATTTGCCATACCTCTTTTATATATATTTCTATAATATAATATTTAACAACGTCGTTTGCACTGCGCTCTTGCGTTACTTGTGTTTTCTTAGTCTGTAATTTGTATGATCATTTTGCATAATTTACCACACTAGGCAAGGCAAGGCAAGGCAAGGTTATTTATATAGCACATTTCATACACAATGGTAATTCAAAGTGCTTTACATAAAAGGAAGTAAAATAATCATAAAAAAGTGATTATTGTAATTATTGTAATGACCCTATGTAAAGCTGTACCATCCTGTCAGTGAGGATCTGGCCTTCCTCTATGGCACAATCCTTACTGATGGCAAAGATACTTTTTTCTGAAAAGCCCACAGCCAATGTGTGTGTGTTTGCTGATGCGCAGGTAAAACCAGTTGTTTATATGAATCCATACACAGGGAGTTCTGGACTTCAAGGACTGTTCTTCCTAATATGAAATCAGTTGGTTGATGAGGACTGGTCTTTTGCTCCTCAGTCTATGTAACAGAGGTTTGTTATATGGGTTGTCAGGTGGACAGAAGCCCTACAGGGTCAGGCGTCACTGCTCGTATAGCTCTTCAGTACCATAAGGGCCTGATCGGACTGAACCAGACCAGAAGCTTCAAGAGTGGAGCTACAGGATCAGTGTTTACAGGAAAAGCAATCGAGGTACCTGTAGAAAATATTAACGGATTTTCATATCAATTTAACTTTGAATTGCTTTAAATAAGGGACGTACAAATCATTATATAATACAACTCAGTCATTTAAGAGTCTAGTCCTGGAAATGTAGTATTCTTTAACAAAACCAGTAATTGCAGCTGGTCTGTTGTTGAAGGAGACCACATGTGGTGACTTCAGGGCTGTGGTGGTGGAGGTCACAGGTCATGCTCACTACAGCGGTGTGGCCAGCTTCATCCAAGAGAGTGATGACCCTCAGAGTGGAGGCTTCCTTCTGCGCTGACTCGGTGAACTTGGTTACAACTGAAATTTCTGCTTCTGATCGCAGGTACAGTGTAAGACAGGGTTTCTGAGCTTGAGAGCATGTGAATCTTCAGATGTAGGTTCTTTGTAAAAGAAATCATGTTTAGATATTGAATAAACGTTGTACTGTGACAATTACTTGTCGCAAAACTAGTCTTGTAAACATTTAAATAAGATTTAGGATTTAAATAATAAAAAAATGATGTAAAATAAAAAATGAATGAATTTGGTATTATTGTAATTTGATACAATCTTGATATCAATATAATTTTGATCAATATTATTGTAAAATTGATTGAATATATGGAACTAAATAATATAAAAATTAAAACTAATTATATGTGAATAGTAAATGACATCTACTGTATGTGTGCCACTGTAATTGTTAATAATAATTTCCTGAAATGTTTGAAACATTTAATAAAAATAGAAGGGTAACAATTTTCAAAAGGCACTAATCTGTCATCTGTACTGATTGAATAAGAATTAAAATTAAATTGTTTAAGTTTGATATTGTAATTGTTAATATTGCCCACCAGAGGGCACCATCTGACTATATTTGCCCAAGCAAAAACTGTAGGAATAGTGCAGTGACACCGTTATTAATAAAATAAAAATAGTGTTGTTTCAATTTATGATCAACATACCCCAGCATTTTTCTTAACTGGTTATTATTTTTACCATTCACTAACAATCAGAGGAGACTTAAATTGACAGCATAACAGAAAATACTACTCAGATTCTTCCATTTATTCTCTTGTGATTCATCTTACAATGGAAGGTTGGGTTTTCCTTAAATTATAAAAGTCCAATGGAGGTATCTTACACTGAAAAAGGAAACTTTGTTACACCATACAACTAGGCTGCTGCTTAAAAAAAACAACAACAAAAAAACAGGAGAGATTCCAGACAGGAAGGAAGAATGTAAGGGAAGAAGAGTATATTGCCTTGATCCAGTTACTTACAGATCATCTTAAATATGACTACATTTCACATGAAAAGTCCTCAAACAGAGAGTCCAACACTTGACATCAGAAACTGCATAGTGTCTGTACAATGACCGTCCACAGTG